ATGTCTATTATAGCTGAACTGGACCCTCTCTCTGTCTGTCTGAGCTGTAGGATACCGGCTGTAGCTCTGATGTATATTGTGGCTGAACTCAGCAATATTTGAGATGACAGAGTAACTGTGGAATTTCTCTGCTCAGTGCCTAAACCAACCTGCCTGGGGAGGCCAGCCCCGGCCCCGGCCCCGGGCCCCAGGCATGCACAGCACATCGCAGGCCAGCACACTTTCCCTCCACAGCTGCCCCAGCCCCTGCTCACGTGGCCCAACTATCCAGCTAACCCTTAACACCCGTTCCCCACACTACCCACCTACGTGCAGATGCAGCTGAGGGAATGTCTGTGTTTACCAGAGCATTTCTAGTGGATCAGCAGCATGACTCAAATAGGAGCCAGCAGAGAAATTACTCAGAATCATGTAGCTGCCAGTTAGCTAGGCTACGGGCTGTTCCTCATTGGAATTCGCTAAGCAACAGCAACAGTTACTAAACCACACTACAGAATAAGAAGCAGAATGAGCTTTGGGCTTCTCAATGTACTTCTCTCTGTCTGTTCCACCTGTATTTGGCCCAATGTGGCATTATGTCTCAGAGTCTGTGTCCCAGATGGCAGCCTATTCCCTATACACTGAGTGGACAAAACATTAGGAACATCCTAATTCCTAATATTGAGTTGGACCCCCTTTTGCCCTCAGAACAGCCTCAATTTGTCGAGGCATGGACTCTACAAGGGGTCAAAAGCGTTCCACAGGGATGCTGGCCCATGTTGACTCCAATGCTTCCCACAGTTGTGTCAAGTTGGCTGGATGTCCTTTGGGTGGTGGACCATTCTTGATACACACTGGAAACTGTTGAGCGTTAAAAAAAAACAGCGCAGCTGCAGTTGTTGACACAAACCAGTGCGCCTGGCACCCACCACCATACCCCGTTCAAAGGCACTTCAATATTTTGTCTTGCCCTCTGAATGGCACACAAACACAATCCATGTCTCAATTGTCTCAAGGTTTAAAAATCCTTCTTTAACCCCTTTCATCTACACTGATTTGAATTGGATTTAACAGGTGACATCAATAAGGGATCATAGCTTATACCTGGATTCACCTGGACAGTCTATGTCCTTAATGTTTTGTGCACTCCCTATGGGCCCTTGGTTAAAGTAGTAGAAGTTCACTATATAGGGAATAGGGTAGCATTTGGGACGCGCACAGACTGATATCCTCCCTGCCAACAATATCTGGGTTGATGTAATGACGTCTGAGTGATGTTAAGCAGAAGGGGCCAACTTGACATTACCATCTCCGTGTACTGTAGCACTGCTGAAGACCCTAGCCAGGAGAACCTGGCCGCTCCAGATGTCTGAACTAGCTGCTAGCGTCCGTCTGCGCGCTGCATGGCTCACAGCTGAGCAAACAGCCACTGTCTTCTCTTCAACATGGCATGTTTGAAATCACAGGCCCGTCCAAAAAGGCACAGGCCCTCTCCAGAAGACCTGGGTAAGAAACAAAAGCTCTGTAGCATCTAATGTTCTTGTTCAAACGGTTTACATGTTCAAATCAAATCAAATCAAATCAATTTTTATTGGTCACATGCGCCGAATACAACAGGTGCAGACATTACAGTGAAATGCTTACTTACAGCCCTTAACCAACAGGGCATTTATTTTAAACAAAAAAAGTAAAAATTAAACAACAACAACAAAAAGTGTTGAGAAAACTGGTTGACTAGTCCTGTTTCTGTTGAAACTCTGTACCTCCCAACAGAGTGGAGCTTTGACTCAGATTGTCACTGACTGTCTGTAAATATTGGGCTGGAATTCCTAGACAGACGGGATGGAATGGAGTTGACTAAAGAGGAAGGGGATTTTCCAGTCAGACTCTTTCAATAACATAGAAAATCTATTCTGGCACAGACACACCTTAGAGGCGTCCAGTGTAAACCAGTTCATCTTAGATGTTTGCTGTTCTTTTACAACAGGGTCTATGTCTTCTGGTGGCTTTAAATCGTATATATATGATGCGCATATATGTAGTGTTCCCAAATTTGGTTATTTATTCAATATTCAAAACCTTTCAGTGACAAAATGTGTTATAACACGCTTTGTACACAATGACTTTCCAACTCAAGAGGAGTCACATTCACAGTCTGCATATACTACACTATTTACAAAGCTGCATAAAAACATACCTCTTCTCCCCCCCCCCTACCCACACACTTTTTTTTACATTAGTTGGTCTTTTTCTGATAGATTTTTAAGAACAGAGACAAAAGTTCCTAATGTTCTCTGATTCTATGGCTTTAAATTCAGAACTGCAGTGCTTAGCGTGAGCTAATGGTGCGCGGGTCAGCTGTTTGTTCACCTGACCCGACCCCAACCCCCTAATGTAAGGAAATGTGCTGTGGGTTACAGTCAGAGATTGCGGAACAATTTTTGAATTTTTTTGTTGTTGCCTGATTTAGATGTTTCTGCTTATAATGTCTGACATTTTGGTCGGCTATTTGTTAGTCAACTTGTCTATAATTAGATGCAGCTTATTTTCTGTCATATGTTGCCGTAGAAGACTAAATTAATCCTTCCTCACCAGAATAATGTCATAAATCGATAAGTTGACATCCGTAAAGTTTTCTTATTCATGTCTGCTTCTTTCGTGGAGCAAAGACATTTAGGGACCAGGGAGAAAATGCAAAAAGAAAAGGAACGATTTTCTGTGCAAAATGTCCAAATTACATCAGTTTGACCGGTTGTAAAGAAATAGAATGCTGTGAAAATGACCCAACATGTTTCTGATTAGATTTCAGTTCGGCTTGGATGCACATTTTATGTGTTTGAAATGCAATCAGCTTTTATGATGCTGATAAAGATAGCACCTCTACAGATGGTAGCCTTTTTAACTGCTCATTCACATTCTCTCAAGATGCTGAAAGAAATAAATCCTATTTCTCCACTCCTGATCCCGAGTCAAAATGTTGCCTACATTTGGTGCGTCATTTTACTGCAGGAAATGCTTAATTCTGCAGAAGTTAAAGGAAAACTCCACCCAAAAACGATATTTTGGTATTGTTAAGATAATCTCTAATTCAACCTAAGCTTGAATCATTACCAGAGGTTGTAAGGCTCTGGTTTTAATCATAAATGATTAAAGGTCCACAACCAACAAGAATGATCTGTCTTTTTATTCATGGAGAGCTCTGGCGCCAAAACCCATACACTCCTGTTTTATACCTCTTGACACACAAAGGCACTTTGCTCCACCCACCTTTAGGAGGCTTTCTTAAACAGTTTCCACCTTTCTCCTTCACCCTGGAATGTTTAGTCCCCCCCCCCCCCCCCCCCCCCCCTCTGTTAGTGGGTTGATAATTCTAACAGTTTACACATTTATACTGTATTTGGGGTGAAATCCTTTAGTCATTATTCTTAAAATACAAATTAATCTAACAGGTATTTGTTTCATTAGTCCATTGTTGACATAGTCCCAAAATGTTTTGCAAAATGCATCATACGGGGATGGTTTCTTTATTTCGAAAGTTACATATCTTGAAAACTTGATTGCTGACAAGCAAAACATTTAGGGACTATGTAAACAATGTACTAATGAAACAAATACCAAAAGATAGTTTTGGGGTGGAGTTTTCCTTTAATATTAAGGCTATGTGAGAGGTCATAGACCTACAGTCAGTTTCCATTTAACCCATCTGAACAGAAGGCTACAGTTCCCTTTGACGTGCCATAGGCCTATTTGAAGCCTCACAATCATCACACATAGCCTAACGTAGCCGGTACCGCTATCATCCTCTTTTACCACTTCACCAAATCTTTTCCCAAACATGACTTTTCTGACTCTCCCTTCTCTTTATCTTCAACTCTCCTTTTCACAGCTTTTCTCTTATTGAATTCAACTCTGACATTGTCCTTTATGCCTCCGTGGATCAACGTTCAACTTCTTCTTCTGCCTGTTCCCAAAAGCATTTGTCCAGTAGCTGTACAGTTAGGCCCTGAAGCTTAGGCTTATGCACTAATGCCATATAGCCTAAAATAATGAAAGTAAAACCTTAAATGTAGCCTATAGATATAAATTGCACAAGAATTATACATTTATGGATTTTATTCAAGTATTGTTTTCTCCTTATTCAACCCGCCCGCCACCTACCCAGCCTTCATCCACACAATATTTCATGACCAACCCTAAACCTGCCCGCTCCGCAGATATAGGCCTGACCGCGGGGACTGCGGGTTATGGGTCCAACCCGCGTTATGGGTTATGAGTCAACCCGCGCTTCACTAGTGTGAGCTCTATTTTCCATGTGACAAAAGAAAAATAATAGTCAGAGGTGAATGTATTTTTAATATACTCACTCTTCACCATGCTTATTGTATCTAGAACAACATCCTCAACAAAAACAACACCGATTGTAATATTCAGGTTTGAGCGGTATATAAACAATGTTACATTACAATTTAAAATAAAATAAAATTCAATTCGCTCACACATGCATACATACTTACAAAGTAAAACTAAATATATTATTAAATTGATACTTAGCACATACAGACCAGGCGTTTGCAACGTATTAATTATGGCCACGAAGTGGTTAAAGAGGCACCCAACTGCATCTAACTATACAACTGCAGATCAAACATCAAAGCGGACAAATAATATTATTCAAGCATAATGTCTCATTCAAGCAAAGTCACTTTTTCCATTCCGTTTTCCAAGATCATGCTAAATAATACAAAAATATCCCTTCTTCTTCAGCGGATTTGTCATATCAATAAAAATACATGATGTCATGTCATAATCCTCTGTATTTAGTTACAAAATGCTTCCTTTGGTACAGATTTCCAAACAGATAACACACTAATGAATCGAAGGAATGTCATCAAGTGATAAGAGGAATGTTATAAAAACAAATCTATCGACAACAGCTATTACCACAACAACTGGTTGAGATTGTTGTTGTTTACAGTACTTAAAGAGACAAGAGGAAAATACCTCAGAATCCATGGAACACTTTAACCCCTGTGGAGAGAGGAAGAGAGAGATGAACTTGAAGAAATACTGGTATGTAGCGTCTCAAATCGTAAGTATTATGTTATACTCATGTTCATGCTATTTTACCATTACCAAAAACATCTATATTTAACATCCAGCCTCTATTATTTGCACTTAGATGGCCTTTGGGATGGGATAACCTGTGCAGGGCTGAGACCTTGTTATCTATGGCATCATTGCAAATTACAGAGAATCTATGATATATTGGCCAATCACAGAGAATCTCATATCTTGGCCAACCAATCACAGAGCATCTCTTACCTGGTTACCCGACAGTTCCGTGTCTGAACCTGAGTACCCGTGTATATGACATCACACCGCACCACATTGTTGGAATAGTCCGACTCTTGAACATGATAACTGGGATTCACTGTGACCTGAAAAATGAAAAGATTTGTGTGAACAACGCTGCTTAGAGGAGACGGTCAGACCTCACACAGACTCACACAGGACTGGGCCAAACTGTTATACCATTACGGAGTAGATCATTACCAAACAGATAGTTGCTGTTCTAAAGACAATAATAATTGAATGGCATTACCTTCAGGACGTATTTTCCTACAGGAACATCAGTGATGTCGATCCACTGACAGTCAATATTGGCAGCATAGGTGTCATGACAGCCTGGACTCAGCCCCTGTCAACACAAAACAAAACACAGCCACGGCTCAATATGCAAAGAAATAACGGGAAAAGAGTCCGAAGACAACCCATTAATGAGACATCATCACATTTATCTGGCTATATTGTTCTATAGTGAAAGGAGGGAGAAAAACTCTTGACCCAGAGTTTTTCCTGTGTATGTGTAATGCAGAACTAACCTGTGTATGTGTAATGCAGAACTAACCTGTGTATGGGCGGTGCAGTACAACCTGTGTATGATGGGTGCAGAACTAACGCTGGTATGAGCGGTGCAGAACTAACCATGTGTATGGGGCGGTGGGCCAGTACTACCCTGGTGTATGAGCGGTGCAGAACTAACCTGTGTGATGAGCGGTGCAGAACTACCCTGTGTATGGGGGTGGCATACTAACCTGTGGAATGGGCGGTGGCAGAACTCAACCTGTGTTATGAGCGGTGCAGAACTACCTTGGTATGAGCGGTGCAGACTAACCTGTGTATGGGCGAGCAGTAAACCTTTGTATGGGCCGGTGCAGTACTACCTGTGTATGGCCGGTGCAGAACTAACCTGTGTATGTGTAATGCAGAACTAACCTGTGTATGAGCGGTGCAGAACTAACCTGTGTATGAGCGGTGCAGAACTAACCTGTGTATGGGCGGTGCAGTACTAACCTGTGTATGGGCGGTGCAGTACTAACCTGTGTATGAGCGGTGCAGAACTAACCTGTGTATGGGCGGTGCAGTACTAACCTGTGTATGAGCGGTGCAGAACTAACCTGTGTATGAGCGGTGCAGAACTAACCTGTGTATGTGTAATGCAGAACTAACCTGTGTATGTGTAATGCAGAACTAACCTGTGTATGGGCGGTGCAGTACTAACCTGTGTATGTGCGGTGCAGAACTAATCTGTGTATGGGCGGTGCAGTACTAACCTGTGTATGTGACGGTGCAGAACTAACCTGTGTATGGGCGGTGCAGTACTAACCTGTGTATGGACGGTGCAGAACTAACCTGTGTATGTGCGGTGCAGAACTAACCTGTGTATGAGCGGTGCAGAACTAACCTGTGTATGAGCGGTGCAGTACTAACCTGTGTATGGGCGGTGCAGTACTAACCTGTGTATGGGCGGTGCAGTACTAACCTGTGTATGGGCGGTGCAGAACTAACCTGTGTATGGGCGGTGCAGTACTAACCTGTGTATGGGCGGTGCAGAACTAACCTGTGTATGTGTAATGGAGTACTAACCTGTGTATGGGCGGTGCAGGCATATCTGCGTCTAAATCCAGCATCACAACCTGTGTCCTCCAGACAGAAGCTGGCCTTGTGTCCCTCAGCTACCTTCCTTCCTGTTATCACATCCAGCAGGTCATAGCTACTGAAGGCATTCATACTGTGGTAGTGGTCTGGGGGAGGGGAGGATAGGAGAGAGAGAGAGAGAGAGAAGAGAGAGAGGAAGACTAGAGAGAGAGATAGAGAGAGAGAGAGAGGAGAGACGAGAGAGAGAGAGAGAGAGGATAGCTCTCTCTCGAGATCGCTCGAGCTCTCCTTCTCCTACTGCTCTCTAGCTCTAGTCGCGCTCCGCTCTCTATCGCTCTCTCTCTCTCCTCTTCTTCTCTCCCTCTCGTCTCTCTCTCTCTCTCTCTCTCTCTCTCTCTCTCTCTCTCTGTTGTGTGTCCCTGAGTCTTATGTATTCTTGCTCTAGACTAACGTACAAACATGAGGTTTCTACAAAAAATGAATTTGTCTAAACTATCCTCTGAAGTTTCACCATACAGTTGCGCTGGCCAGCTACTATTGCCTGTCACTAGTGACTAAATCCTATGGAATGAGGGAGACCTGAGACAAATAGAGCAAGTAATTTCTACTTCCTATTTACAATGGGAATAGATTTACTCACTGGTGACAGCTGTGCCATTCCCACTGGTGTCTTGGTTTGACAGGAAGGAAGTCAGTGGTGCCTTTGTTCTTGACTTTCTGGGGGAAGCGGAGCAGTACTCTGTAGTCTATGTCCCTTGCTGTGCTCGCTGAACTGGGACAGACCATACAGGGAAAGATACATTAACTGTCATATTCTATCTGATAAGGTAAACGTTTGCAATTGTCAAAATGAGTACATTTTAAGTTTATTGGCAGTACAAAACAGTAAAACAGTGGTACCTAAGTGATATCCTGTTTATGTTGCCTATTGAATGGCAAATTACCAATTGAAAGCATTATTTATAGTAACCACACATTTCAGGAATTGAAGAGACAATGGGAAAATGCCGATTTTTTTTCTGAAAGTGTATAGCGGATGAAGAGATATAGAGAACATATACTGTGAAAAAAATAGCGCACAAAGCCAGTTGGGCACTTACAGTATAACTTACCTCGCCAAACAGTTCTCCTCAGCTGCACAGCGCAGCGAGTACATCTGCATCCGCTGGATGTAGGCACCTGCCTGGATGGCATACGGGTCTGGGACGAGATCTGGGAGCCCTAAGGAGAGACAACCGCAGCACACAAGCCGTATAAGCGCTTATAACTGTTGTACTCGGAGCATTTACACTTTTAAGCGCCGATTACGTACCATTCTGAAAATATGTAGTGCCATATCCAGTGCCGGGGGCGGGCGCCGGGGGACGCGGACGCCGCGTGCGTGCTACCGGCGTTCTGCCTCTGGAGGAATACATGTTGTAGAAGACGGAATTCCGGTGGTTTTTAAAAGGGTTCCGAGGGTCGTCCGAGACCATGTCCTCGCCGTTACTCGCTGCCTCATTCGATGTCTCAGCAGCGTTAACGGGTCCGGGTCCTGGAGGAGCACCCCTCCCGTTAGGGATGACATAACGTGCGTTGGAATTGTCAGTTAGTGCGGGTTGCCTGGAGACGGATGCTCCGGCCTCCGCGCGCATCTCTTGGTATTCTCCGCCCGGTACAGGCACTGCCTCGCTGCCCCAGGTAGCATCCTGAGTGACAGGGGCTCCTCTCCTCGGTACCCCACTACCAGAGAACTCGGGGAGCAGCCCGGGGACCGAGGCGTTTACTCGGTAAGTGTACTCTGGAGAGTAGCGCCGTGCGCCAGGGGACCCGGCCACTCCCGCTCGGTATGGCACCTCGGGCTGCGGCCTGGCCCCTGACTGGCGAACATTGGGTACCATATACTGTCTACTGTCATGTCCTAGATGTACAGATCCAGGATCTAGAACGTTGTTGCTTTGGTCCCGTAAATGTCCACCTACGTTCGATTCGATTGGTCCAGATCTTCTGTACGCCACTGTGCCTTCCCGCGTTCCAGGCTGCGTCTGACCGGTGCCATCCCTCCCAGTGCTCATGTAGACCCTGGACTGGCTTCTCGGCCGCGCGGGCGGGTGATACTCTGACCCGGTGCTCATCAAACTGTACACCTTACCGTTATTCTCCCACTGAATCCTCTGCCGCCAAGGCCCCACTCGCTCGCGCGGCGGCTGCTGCTGCCCAGTAATGACATGAACCAGTCCTTGGAGGAGGTAAAAGAGTAAAACCGACCACTTCGCCATAACTGATAATTTTAACGTACTAAACCCTCTCTAGAACTCACTAACTACAACATTAAACAACAGGCCTACGTATATGACATTTATATTGCACAGAATAAGCTACGGTGGTTCTGTGGAGGAGATGAAAGTTCTAAGGAGGAGCGCGCGCACTATCCGTTCCAGTGAATATGCGGCATAGCCTGCCAGTTTTCTCTGTGTGCGGCACTACTGACAGTTGGAGAGGACAGGAAGCTTGGAATTCTCAGCCATTTATCAAAACGGGCTAGTTGACTTACGCATGCACAGAAAGCCTGAGGTTCGAGAGAAAATACTTAACTCTTTCCTCCCTGTGGAGTTCAGTTACACAAGGCTTATAATGTAGCTTACACAAGCCTTGAGTTTACTTAGCAAACTTTACGCACTGGTGTCAGCTGGGGTCATCTGAATAGCAACGCCACTTTTGTGTGTTTCTCATGATCAATTTGGGCATTATTTCAATGCAAGTATTCTATATAAAAGACAGTACTTTATTTGACACTTTTCTCTTTCTTATCATTTTGGCATTTTTTTCTAGAAAGTAAGGGAATGTCGTATTTTTTTCAACCCAACTTTTAACCTAAATCCAATAACAGGGTGAACATTTTGGTTGATTTCACGTTGAATTCACGCTAGTTGATAACTCAACCAAATGTAAATCAAAACTAGACGTTTAACTGATGTCTGTGCCCAGTGGGAACGCAAAAGTCTGCAACCCAAAGGTTGCAAGTTCAAATCTCATCACGGACAACTTTAACATTTTAGCTAATTAGCAACTTTTCCACTACTTACTACTTTTTAGCTACTTTGCAACTATTTAGCATGTTAGCTAACCCTTCCCCTAACCCTAACCTTAACCCTTTTAGCTAACCCTTCCCCTAACCATACCACTTTAACCTAACTCCTAAACGTAACCCTAACCTTAACCCTAATCCCCTAACCCCTAGCCTAATGAAACATCCAGCAACCCAAAAGTTGCGAGTTCAAATCTCATCATGGACAACTTTAGTATTTTCACAACTTTTCAACGATTTACTACTTTTTAGCTACTTTGTAACTACTTAGCATGTTAGCTAACCCTTCCCCTAACCCTAACCTTAACCCTTTTAGCTAACCCTTCCCCTAAACCTAACCCTAAACTTAACCCTTTAACCTAACTCCTAAACGTAACCCTAACCTTAACCCTAACCCATAACCCCTAGCTTAGCTAACGTTAGCCACCTAGCTAGAATTCGTAACATATCATACGTTTCGCAAATTCATAACATATAGCATGTTTTGAAAATTCAAATACAAATTGTAATTCGTAACATATCATACAAAATGGGTGATGGACATCCACAAATTAATACATAACATACGAAACATAACATACTGTATCATACTACATTGAGAGTCTCGGATTTACGTACAGAATAATATTAAATGCTCTGAGACCAGGTTGGCTATTCTGTACCCACCATGAGAAATAACAATTGCACTCAACAAGCCTACTGTCCCTATGAATAAATAAATACAATTTGGTAAACTATATCATAAACAAATGTGAAATTCTGTAAATTGTTTCCAAAGGCATTCAATGACATTCAATATCAATTTCCCTTATTGGCTACAACATCTTTTCTTCAGTGAATCGATATTCCTTTTTAACAATTTGTTTAGCCTAATCACAGAATGACAAACGTCTCAATGAATGTTTCATTGTGAACGACACAGTAGGCTGCTACATCTCAAGGTGCTGACATGACATCGCTAAAGGATACCATCTCTCAACCCTCTGTCTGTACACTTGAATAAACATCTCTATTTCAGAGCATGGCCACGAGGTGGCAGTGTACACCTGTTTGAGACACCTGTCAGGCTGTCGCAGTTAATATTGAAGTAGATTCAAATCAAATCAATTAAGTATGTCTTGTTCATTCTGCTTGAGACATAGCCTACATATTCACAATAGCAGTACACTTGGGGTGTGTGGACACATTTTTATGGGAACAATATTTTTAATATGGTACCTCAGATATACAGTATCACTCATATGGCATTTGGTTATTGGTCATTTGGCAACTTGGCGAGACCAGGAGAAGGCTGTGCGAAAACCGTGTGTAAAGGGTATTTTGTAGGCTACTGGCCAGTATAGCGTGCTTTCTGGCAAAAATAACTGGCATATAACAACTATGCGAAAAAAAAAACACTAAACAGTAAGAAAGCTTGTTGTTGGTTCCAACAATTGGCTGGAACATATATGGGTCACAAGGAGAGAGCAGCGGGGTCAAGTTTTGTGAAGTAGAAGCGTCTGTCATGCTGGCCAGGCGCGTTCTATAGCGCGTTCTCCTCTCGTGGTGTCTAGGGGATAGTAAATGTAGCCACGCTCCAAATAGGGCAAATGCTCAACGTCTGTCTGTCTGTCTGTCTGGTGGCTATGATTAGGCATGAACCCGACACCTGGTGGGACATTCTAGAATAGAGCAAGGGAACGCCCCGCGCACCGAGCCTGTATAAGACCGGCGGCGCCTTGCAACGGGTTTGGAACAGATTTCCCCTCTCGAGCAGGACAGATACAAAGTATAGACAGTAAGTATATATGCTACATTGAGTCTTTACTTGTGTGTCTGAAGTGAAAAAAGTAGTGAACAAAAAAAAAGTAGTAAACAAAAGAAAGTAAACAAATCACAACAAACTGTTGCCACAAAGGTTGAACTAATAGCCAATCTGTTTTAAATTAAATAGTGTTTTTTGGAAAATAAAATTATTTGAAATATTTTTGTTGGTGCTCTTCCGGTTGTTTTCATATTAAAACACCTGTTAGTTAGACTTCCCCTTGTGATGCTGGCCGAATAAAAACTAATTGATGTACGCTTTGAATATATCTCATTCCATAAATCTAGGTACCCCAGGGCTCCTCAGAATCTTTGCTTCTTGTGCGATTAAAACGAAGATGAAGGTCTATAATGGTTTTACCGCAAGAAACCCCCCAAAGGAATACACCTGTTTTCCTTCCCGTTACTGTGACACCAGAAGCCATATCATGCGGAGTATACATCTAAATGATAAACCCGGAGGGTATGACGGGTCACCATAACATTACTACAGATCACATCACGGGGAGACAAACTTCAAGGTGAGACAAAACAACAAAAGACTGATTTAACCTTGAGAAGGACCCTGTACTGTAGCCACATACCTCATGTTGTCGGTCAATGCTCCGTGGTCTATTATTGCTTTCCATTTTATCATGAGCTGAAGCACGCTCATATTCATGTTGTAGGGGTTTATGTAGGCTAATGAAGAGGTGTTTGCAGGTGAACCTATACTCTTCTGATTCCAATGTGAAATAACAACTTTTGAGGAGTAGGCTATATGTAACCTACAAGCCGTTGTCTATTCAGCTAAACATTTTTATACTTTTGACCCTTGGATGGCTTCTCCTAAGTGAATGACTAGACGCACATGTTTGACGTTTTTTATTCTGGCCAAAAAGTATCTATTTTGATTTGGAAAAAATATATATACTGATACTACCACTGCCCCTATCTAAAATTGACATTGCAAGTGGACAGTTTTCAGCTCACACAGATGGCATTTGAAAGCCAACACTAACGTTGACAGCGACGTAACAGGTTTTAATTAAAGACATGTAGGCCTATCATTTCTATATTAGGCTACACAAAGGTCAGTGGGACAATTTTGATTGATTTGGTCTCACGGTTTCTTCTGGCAATATGGTGCACCTTTAATTGACTCGGAACGTGACCAGAGTGACAGTGGAGGGCTGCTGAGGGGAGGAGGGCTCATAATAATGTCAGGAAAGGATTCAATGGAATGGCATCAAACCATGTGTTTGATGTATTTATGACACCATTCCACCTGTTCCGCTCCAGCCATTACCATGAGCCTGTCCTCCCCAATGAAGGCACAACCAACCTCATGTGGACCAGACCATCACAGAATGATATTCCAGTCAATGAACTTTACCTCCAGCTGTAACTAATATGTTGCTTTGCCAGGGGGCGTTTCATGATGGCGTGTCCTTGCTTTGATAACCTACATGTGGCAACTTATCCTAGTGGTTGAATTCATGATACTCTGTTGTGACCCAGATAGTGTGATGGCTATTATTATTCAAATAAACACTTAGGCCTATATATCTCCTTTTAAGTCTCAAATTAATTATAAGCATTGATGTATAGTTTTACAGTTATTAATAACACATTCGTATATCGTTAATAATGGATCTATTCAAAAACCCTTTCAAGCAGTGTAGCAGGCCTAGTTCAGTTGCCATGCAAGTTTCTAAGTTTCTTTAATCATTTCATAATGCAGCACCAATAATATGAGGATGAGCACCAAGATTATACTCTATTGCAGTTTTTTATATTGCTTTGGTGCAATTTTCACAAGTATGTGATACATTTTCACAACTCTCAGTACAAAACTCAAAACAGATCATCAAAAGGGCAGTTGTTTCAAAACTCTAAGCACATTTTCAATTGACTAAATACAATCAATGTGGATTTTTTGCGATAGTAGCCGGGAGCTTGAGGTGTCTGATTCTTGTGAGATTAGTTCATGACAGTTTGCGGTGGAACACGTGAAAAATACATACACTTTTCAGAATTGTTTGGCGAGCTACTCGTAGGTGGGCTGCGTGCTACTGGTTGCTTGCGATTGGAGACCCCTGGCCTAAATTCACAGAAGTCACAAAATGTTGCCACAATTTGGGGATGTCTAACTTTGTCCCCAGGCTAACTGTGCATAGGAGGGAGCGTCTGGTGAACAACATTTGGGGACGTCATGTTATGCTTGTCAAAAGTATTCCATGTATTTACATTTAATCAATCAAAGTTCATGTGTATTTATAAAGCCCTTTTTACATCAGCAGTTGTCACAAATTGCTTTAAAGTAACCCAGGCTAGACACAAAACAACAGTAGCATCATCAAAAATGCTCACATGTCATCGGAGTTGGGTAGTTGGGTAGTAGGGGAAAGCGCGTGACAGCCTTACAGGACAGGAGTCACCGATCCTCAAGCGAGCCTCCCCTCCTTCCAACCCAAATATGGAAGAACAGGCTTTACTCTTTGGTTACGTCCCGGTTACCATGGAGCTGACGTGTGACGTGGGTGCGCATGGATCGCATGCCTCTCTGGTTCTCAACCCCCCCCCCCCCCCCCCCCCCCCCCCCCCGTTGCCTCCGCCTCCG